TACCACCAGCCCGCTTTGCGCGCACACCTCCGCACCTTTATATTTTCCACACTGCGCCTCCTCTGAGCCTCGGTATGCTGTTGTTCCTTCTAGTCCGGTGTTTACCTATGCCGCCATCTTGCTCGGACTCCTTAAAGAAAAGTTTCAAATCAAAAGCTATTAATGTGAAAAAATGTAATTTCTTTCATTTTTGTTTCATTGGATTTATTGTTTAGAATTAAGAGAATATAGTATAAACATATATTGAAATATTTTTCAAATGTACCACATCAAACATTTCACATATTTCTTTGTAGAATTATTCCCTGAAATGCAAGTTTCAAATTTTGATCATGACTGGGTGATTTTAAATTTGAATATGACTGGATATTACAGAGTTAACTATGATAAATTAGGCTGGAAGAAATTAAATCAACAGCTTGAAAAAGATCACAAGGTAAGATTATTTTTATATCTTTTTAAAAATCTCATTAGTATTGCACTCTCTAGCCTTTCAGAGTTGAGTTTTCATATGTCTGTCTGATGAGAAGAGACCTTCCCCTCATTACTTATTTTTAGAAAAGGGAGATTTTGGTTGAATGCTTTGTATTTTTGAACATTAATCTCACTTTTCCACAACAATTTTACCTTTCTAGGTAAAAATAAGAATACATTTTCCTATTAACCATTAGTTTTGTGATGTTAAGCAAGTTACTTAAATGTTCTGCTTTCATTTCTTATTTTAAATGGAAGTAATATTATGTATTAACTTATTTATCAAGAGGATTAGAGACGATGTAGGTAAACATATACTTAAAATTTCTAAGCCCATAATAGATGTGCAGTATATGCTAGAAAATGTTAATTTTTGTAAAAATTTTATTCTCACTCTTCCTCAGAGGGGAGAATTTAATCCACAAATATCAATAATAATCCAATATCACTTTAAATTGTGAAAGAATTATAAATCATTATACAATATGTAAATATTAAAATGTTGGCTAGCTCTGATCAGTAAGACTTTTATTGATTGAATTTAACTAAATCTCCATTGGTGGAGATAGATGCTGGCTTATAAGTCTATAGAGTTGGCTCAGCTGTGAAATCTTGGGCACGTCATTGAGACGACATTTGTGAAACTAGAGTGTTGAAATAAAAGAAATCTTGGTGTCTCACTCTGGAAATTCTCTGAGACACATGCAGGAACCTCTCCACCAGAAGAGGCAATAAAGAACATTGGTCCAGACTTTGGATTTTTGGTCAGGTAGATTTGTGTTTATATTTATGTTCCTCATTTGCAAGGTGTGTGACCTTAGGCCTCTTATTTGGCCAGTCATGCCTCAGTTTCCTTATCTATATATATAAAGCTCTCACTGGTGCCAATTGCACATGTGTGTTTCCATCTGTCATTGTCGATTGTGAGTTTGGTTGACACTTCTATTATAGAGAAAGGGCGAATAGCGATATTAAAATATTTCTTCTAATTAATTTCCATTCAATGTGCATGAACTCGTGCACCGGGCCACTAGTCTGTATAATAACAGACCAACCTTAAAGGGTTGTTGTGAAGATTAAATAAAGTGATGCATGTGTTATGGTCTAACAGAGGCCTGACACAATTCAGGCATTCGGAGCACGTTCAGTAATTTTTAAAAATTACTATTATACTTTTCAATAAAGCTACAAAACCGACTTATGATGGCATTTTAAAATCTTTTTCTGAGTAGCTAAATTCTTGTTAATTTCTAAAGGCACTCTTGGCTATGGAAGCTTTAGGTCATGTTATTATAGCAATGATTTCTTGAAACCACTGCAGACTTACTTATTTAAAGACTGAGGTTAATTATTCCTACAACATAATTGGTGAGCAAATAAAAAAACATTTCAGTTATTAATATTAATCTAGAAAATAGGTTATTACCGCCAGAAAGAAAAAGAGACTATTCCCAAGAAAAGAATTAAGCTTGGTTTGCTTAGATGTTCAAAGGGATGTAGCGAAGATAAATTTTCTAGTACCAAATATATGAAAATTCTGGAGCTATTGAAGGAATACTGTAGGAGGCGTTGGGCATCCTTAGGACACTACAACTGAGACAGAGTCCGGTGGCCTGGCAATGCCAAGGAGCTCAGACAGGAGCCTCAGGAGTTAGGCTGGCAATTGACTCCTGCCTTTCTGTGATTCAAAGGGCCCTGCTGGTGGTATTGTGTCAAAGCAGTAAATTCCTGAGAAGAGAGATACCATTTGAAAGAGTACCTCAACTTACCAAAATAGTGCTAAATAGTATTTATTTAAGCCCTCCTATGCCAAGAAATTCCCCTGACAATAATTTGGACATTGTCATACAATTTAATGTATGCTTTCTGTTTTGGAGAAGCCTTTTAAACTTGGCTTCCTGTTTTTATTTTCTAACATGCTGTTTTCAGGGAGAATTTTGGCATAACTCTCTGCCTTATTTAAGCCTTATGATTCATGTCCAGAGGGATCATTTATCAAAAACAGATGTATAATACATAAGTTATGGGGACTACCCTTAGTATTTATCATTTCTCTGTACATGAGACAATTCATGTGAAAGTACTTTGTAATTAGCAATGATCTTTAAATGTTATTCTTTTAAAATTATTTTTTTTACTAAAAAAATTCTCATCTTTCTCTGCACATATTGGGATCTAATTTGCAGGCTATTCCTGTTATTCACAGACTGCAGTTGATTGATGATGCCTTTTCCTTGTCTAAGTGAGTATATTTTCTTCTCACATGGTTTTAGAGTTCACCTTGAGAATTTATCATTATGAACTTCATCACTATGAAGTTGGTTCTTTAGCATATCCAGGCCATAACTTCTCAAGATTAGGATCAAATTCTGTAGTTATAGTGGAATTTTATTACATAAAAGTGCCTGGAATGTGCAACAACATGGATGAAACTTGAGGGCATTATGCTAAGTGAAATAAGCCAGTCACAAAAGGAAAAGTACTGTAATACTCCACTTTACAATGAGGTGCTTAGAGTAATCAAAATCATAAAGACTTAAAGCGCAATGGTGGTTGCCAGGGGTTAGGGGAAAGGTGAAAAGGGCAGATATTATTTAATGGGTACAGAGTTTCAGTTTTACAAATGAAAAGAGTTAAGGAGACAGATGATGGTGATGGATGCACAAAATTATGAATGTATTTAATACTGCTGAACTGTACACTTAAAAATGGTTACAATGACAAATTTTATGTGTATTTTCCCACAATAAAAGAAAGACAATTTAAAAAAGTCCTATAAAGAAAGAGCAATAATGTCTGTTACAATTAGAGAGCCACCAAGAAACAATGTTTTGAGAGAAAGAATATGTTCTTCTCAAGTCAAACCTTGGCATTCAATTATAATCAAAGTCCTATATATTTTCAATTAAATTAACTTTGGTATAATAAGATTTAAACTAATTATGGAGAATTTTTAAAGGGTTTTAAAAGAATAGCAAAGATAACTCAATGTTTTGAAAGAAACACCTTAAAGGAAAAGTTTGAAAAGGATGTAGTAGAGATGATATAAAGAGAAAAAAGATAATAGTGCTTAAATATTTATAGGCTTATTATAAAAAGCATAAGAACCATTATTTTTATTAAAGTATCAATCAGGAATAAAAACTTAGGTAAATTACAAGTGACTCAAGCTTACCTTTGTAAACTCTAGTAAATGTTAAAATGGATAAATTTAGGAAGATTGTGTTCATACTTTTCTGTGATATTGAGTGTTAAGGAAATAAAGTAGCTGTCATCTAAAAAACGAGTTGCTGGAAATAGACTATTAAAATTTTGAAGTGATCTATGATACCTGACAATGATGGCTGTAGGTGTAATATTAATGAGATACGGCATGTATTTTAACATATTGCAAAATTATTGATTTTATTTATATCATCCTTATTCATTATGATATACATAAAATGTGACATATATATAAAAGCAGCTGGTAAGTATTTGACCAGGCAAATTAATATATGTTCAGGATTTAAATTTTCAGACAATAAAATTAAGGAGTATACATAATAAATTATTTAGTGTGCTCACTCTCTCTTCGGCTTGTCCTAGTTCTTGAATGAATGTCTGCTTATTTTATCTTTTATTTCTTTACTACTTTTCCCCTCTGTAACCTGCAGCATACTTCCTTGCTCACTACTTTGTTGAAACTCCTCTCTGAGATTACCCTGACTTTGGTACTGTTGACCACATCCTCCTGGAAACTTCTTTATTGGCTTCCTGAGACTTTAGTATGCAAACGTGGTTCTCCTCATGTATCTGGCTTCTCTTCTTCTTGCTGCTGTGAGAATCCTAAGACCAGTGATGGTTGTGTTATTTTTTTTCTATCTTCCCCTTGGATAATGCATGCATTTTTAAAATTTCAGTGATTTTATTATGTACATGTACAGTGCCTAGAAGATATAAGGTACTCAATAAATGTTTGTGGAAGATATGTTAATGACTTCTAAACCTACATCTCTACTTGTCTCTTCCTGTCTTCTATTTATCCTGTGGTCATTTAAATTCAGCACCTGAGACACTGAACTTTATTTGTCTCTAAACTGCTCCTGCTATCATTTTTTCTCTCTGTCAAAGGTTCCACTATTCTTCCCATCACCCAAACTTGCAACATAAGAGATATCCTGAACTCCTGCACATTTCCCAAATAGTCACCATGTCTTATCTATTCATTCTTGGAAAAGTCTTTTGGATTCTCACCTTACTTACTACCTTCACTGTTTCCATACTAAGCCAAGCTTTCATTGTCTTTTGATTGGCCTATTGCAATGGCTTCTCACTTTTAGTGCCTTTGAATTCCATTCTATCTTCTTGAGCCCAATTATAATAAAATTTTTAGGCATCACCTTCATAATGGTACCCAGGTGTCTAAACATCTTCCCACCACATGTAAATTCTATATCCTAACATTCATGGCTTTTCACAGTTTTGATCCACCTTTCCTATTAGGCCCCACCTTTCAACTATACACAAAAGAAATCTCTGCTTCGGTTAGCTTGGTCTGCCCATCATATTAATTCCCAATAATCTTCTTTGTCCTAAACTGTCTTCTTCTTTTTTACTACCCATTTCAATCCTACCCAACCTTCATTGTTCTCAAATTCCTCTCCAGGAGGCCTTCACTGACTTTTCCATTACATGCGTGTTTACCTTCTTTGCTACGTTATTGTATTCATTGCCTTTCTTAAGACCTTTTGTTAACAGCTACTTATGCATAAATCTCAGCTCCTCATTGAAGTAATAAGATCGGAGCATCAATAGTAGGAGAGCATATTGTCCTATATTCTAGTTTGTGCTGGCAGGACATTAGAGAGAGAATGACTTTTAATTAATACTTGTTGACTGGAAACTAAACTCTCATAAGAATGCATACTAAATGCACAAATATTCTTTTGCCCGATAATTAGGCCAATATTGGGCCTGGATTTTCTATGAAATCTCCAGGAATTTGGGTGCACATACCAAACTGAAATGGAGGGTTGATCAACATTGCTTGGTTCCCATCTTATCAATGAGATGGGACCTTTGCCCTCTAGCTTCTTGATTTCACATACTTTATAAAGTCAGGCATTGACGCATGGAACAAATATGGAAAGTGTGCAAATCATTTTTAGCAAGTGAAGGTTTTTTAGTGTGTGTTTTTAAACCAAACAGAAACAATTATATTGAGATTGAAACAGCACTTGATTTAACCAAGTACCTTGCTGAAGAAGATGAAATCATAGTATGGCATACAGTCTTGGTGAACCTGCTACCCAGCAATTTTGTTTCTGATGTGGGCAACTATGATACATACACATTATTAAAGGTAATTTCATTATTTGTTTTGTGGTTTAAAAGAATCCATTCTTCCTCATTCTTTATTCTAAAGAGCATCTGTGAAACAGGCCTTTCCAAAAGTAGTTTATTTATATATATAATTAATTAATATATACATATTCATTTTTTTCAAGGAATGATTGATTATTCTTAAAAGAAAATACCTTAGTCATAAACCTGGTCTAGGAGATGAGTATGATAGAAGTTTAGAAAGGTATTTAATTCTCATGGAAGTGGCAATGTGTCCTAAGAAACCAGAAGTGGATAGATATGGTATGCCTTTTTGCTTACAGAAAAGGATAGTATGCATTAGCAACTATTTTCCTAAAAGATTGTTAATCAAACAGAATGACTTTTTACAATCCTATATGCATAAGTGAGATGCTTTGATTTACAGGGCCAGCACTTAAAACCAGAGAAGTGAGTTCCAGAAAAAATAACGTTTCAAAGCTGCTCTTGATGTTGCGAAGAGAGTGAGGGAAATTAGACTTAATGACTAAAGACATAACATGCCATCATAACTGAAACAATATAAAAGGAGAAAAGTTCCATCATTCGGTTTTAAACAGTGATCATAAGAAAGATAGCACAGGTAGAATCAAAGCCTAAGTTAGGGAGCAAACCTTTGGAGAGTTAAGGGCCACAAACAAACTGGAAAGTAAGTTAGGTGAGGATTCCAAGTGAGTTGCTGAGGCAGTTTGAGGCTGAAATCATAACTACCTCAGGGTTCCATACTTTCTTGTCTCTACTGTCCAAAGTGCTGATGGAAACTTACTGGAATGTGGGATTGGTGACCAATAGAAGGCACTTTAATATTTGTGGGATCAAGGAAACTCGTTGATTATATCTGATGACTGGGTTTGCATAAATAAGTAAAAACTAATATTTGTTTTTAAAGAATTTCAATGAATACATTTAGTATTTCAATACAGGAATGTATAACTTTTATAATCTTATTATTTATTTCAGATTCAGGGCTTAAATTGTTTGAGACATAAATCAGTTCTTATTTTCTTGGAGGTTTATATATTAAACATGGAATTTTTAAAATAGAAAGTTTAAGTTTTAAATTTTTATACTTTTTTCTCATTTTTTATGATAACCAGAATGAATAGGATCATATTAAGTTATAATAATAGCTAATATTTATTGACTTATTTGCCAGGCAGTATGCTTACATACATTATATTGTTCAGTCTTCACAAAACTATAATAATGGTGTTATTGTAAACCTTGTTTTGTGTGAGAAAACTGAACCTATGCAGGCTAAAAAATAAACCAGTTACACATTACTAACAAATAAAAACCATTTCTGAAGACATATCTGTCATTATTAATGTCTCTTCAAATAAAGAGAAATGCAATGCAAATTCAGTGTTGCGAGCTAGACTAACAGTATATTTTCTTTATTGTTTATAGAAGTATCTATTAAAGAGACTGACCTCAATATGGAATCATTATTCAACTATAATTCGTGAAAATGTGACAGCATTGCAAGATGACTATTTAGCTTTGTAAGTATTTTTGAATAGTAATAATTGCATAAAATTATTCATATTAATAAATAGGCTTCCATACTTACATCATAACATCTTAATACCTATGATTCACTGAGAGATTTTTATATACTATTTTAGGACAGTAGCTTTGAGATTGATGAGCTACATGTATCCTAATAGGAAATAATAGTTTGGGATCTTAATTTACCCACAAAGCACATATGTGTATACACAGAAAATTTTAAAAATATATATTTTTTATTGTTGATATTATTACAGATATCTCCCATTTCCCCCCCCCCCTTAACTCCCTCCTCCTAACCCCTACCTATATCCCCCAGGTACCCTATTGCCTGTGTCCATGGGCTATGCATATAAGTATATAAGTTATTTGGTTTATCTATTCTCATTCTCCCAATGCACATTGAAGTATGTTAGTCTGTTCCATGCCTCCATGCTTCGGGTCTTATTTTGTTGGTTAATTCATTTTGTTCATTAGATTCCACAAATAAGTGACATCATGTGACATTTTATACAGTAATTTATAGCTCTGTATTCTCAAATCTTACTGGTTGAAATTGTAAGTATGTCATACTAATGGTGAAGGGCTGTGCTAAGCGAAGTCAGCCTATCCCAGTGAATTAAAGGGCATGGAAAAGGGGCCCCTCTGTATATTACTGGCGACAGAAATTCTATCACTGTGCAAATTTTATAAGAGGTTGACAGTGAAATATATCAGTCATTGTGTATGATCATGAGTGTTATAAGTGATTTTCAAATCATTGATTTGGTGAGAGAAGTAAGCATGTTCTCATAATGATCCAGGAAGGGGGTGAAAGGCAAAATACAACTCTGCTGTCGCTGGCCTCCCTGTGACCCAAGGCCATGTGTGTATGCTGGGCTTCTAGACTTAGGGAGGGAGTTTGTGATCAGCTATGGTACAGGGATTATATTTACAGCACTAGTCACATCAACTTTAAATCAATTAGACCAAACAAGAAATACAAAGCATACAAAATGTGATTATTACCTCTCATGAGTATCCTTCTGAGAGAGGAGAAAATTTTAGTGCTAGGACCTGTGACTAGAAGGACAGAGGGTTGAATGGACAAGTAGATTGAAGATGGGGAGGACTAGTTGGAATAGTGAATGTGTAGGCATGTGTGAATAAACAGGAAGGCAAAAGTGCTCAAAAACGCAGGCATGGCCCTAACCGGTTTGGCTCAGTGGATGGAGCATCAGCCTGTTGCCTGGGTCCCAGGAGGTTCGATTCTGGTCAAGGGCTCATGCCCCAGTTGCAGGCTCGATCCCCAGTGTAGAGCATGCAGGAGGCAGTCAAACAATGATTCTTTCTCATCATCGATGTTCCTATCTCTCTCCCTCTCCCTTCCTCTCTCAATTCAATAAAAATATATTTTAAAAAAAAAAAAAACCACGAAGGCAGCACACCTGTTAACTAGCCATAACCTTGGATTAGTTAATTGGACTGAAGTGACCTGCTTTTTTGTAGCATCCCAAGACGAGTTCTCTGCAGCCAGCTTGGGATGGGTGGGGAGGGACAGTGAGTGTATAAATGAATGCTCAGAGCTGTCTTTCAGAAGGCCTCCACCCTTGGACATTTCACTTCTGCTTATCAGAGAGTCAGGTCAAGCTGAGTTGAAACTAGAGGGTGGAGGAATAGAGATTTGGCTCTTGCATTTTCTGGAACTTTATGGCCACTTTGATTTCCTTTACCTTTTACTTCAAACTTGGGGAGAGCAGGGAGATACACCCCACGCACCACTTATCTGGATTTATAATTGTTCTTCACTGTATTCTTTTGAACTTATTTGTTTTGAACCATAATGTGTACCCCTTCTCAGCTATAAAAACAAAACAAAACCTCTATCCTTTTTCTGGCCATAAATATAATAGCCAGGAGGAGTTGAAGAAGAAACAGAAACTTAAGCAAGGAAAAGCACATGGTTGAAAGAGAGAAATAAACCATTCCTTTCCATGTATAAAGAACTTTCTTTTTATGAGTATTAGATCAAATACTCTAAAGTCATTTTTTATCCACAAGGCAATTATTATAAAAGGGAGGAAAAGTAAATTGATAACAGATGTGGAGTCTGTGTACACCATGTGTGATTGAGGGAGATAAAGGATGGCAGTAATTTATTTCTAACTTTTCAAAAAATACCAGTCTTAGGAGCTTATTTGGTGCCTGACAGGCTCTCAGAAAACATTTCTCTGAATCTTAAACATGTTTGTTATCCACAAAAGCTTTTTTTTTCTTTTTTAGCAAACTTGATGTTATTGGAAGGATGTTTTAAAATACCCATCTTTTTATGAAACATATTCTTGGAGGGAGAAAAAAATAATGTGGTAATGCAAAATAAAATGTTTTCCTTTGACTGTTCCTTCAAGAATATCGCTGGAAAAACTTTTTGCGAGTGTGTGTTTCTTGGGCCTTGAGGACTGTCTTCAGCTGTCAAGAGAACTCTTCAAAAACTGGATGGACAATCCAGAGAATGAGTAAGATAAATACTGCAATTGCCCTGGTCTTTGTCCTGTTTCAACACCAGCAATCTTTCTACCTTTTTGATGCTCTCACTCTGGGAATGATTGTTTTGTTTTCACTTGGTTAATCTCTCCTACTTTTTTATTCAAGTATCTTTCTTTAAAAAAAACTATCTAATGTAGGTCTGTTCATAACAATAGATTAGAACTTATACAGTGATTGTCACTCAGGATCTATCATTGCCAGTTCATTCCCTATAAGCACTTATGCTTATTTTGAGTCTTATTTAGGTTGTTCTTTATTATATACATACATACATCAGAGCATTTTTTTTCTATTCGTTTGCCGTCTCTCAGAGAGCTGAGGCTAAGACTCTATTAATATATCACCTCAGATGAACTGTTAGGAAATGTGATAGTAAGATATGAAACCAAACTTATCAGCATATACTTACCATTTGTACTACTCTAATTTATTTCTCCCCTAAACTCCTTTCTAAACTAATTTGACAGTCTCATCTCATCATGGTAACACTAATGATAATTCCCACAGTTGCCTTTCTAGATCCCTACTTTTGCTCTTTATATCTGAGATCACAACATTTTTTTCTAGCTACATAGTTCTGAATATATGACAACCCATAAACACAAGTAACATGTTTATAACTCAACTACTATGAGAAATATCATTACATGTTATACTTTACAGAATACCTTATCCAATTAAAACTGTGATTTTATGTTACGGCATTGCCTCGGGAAGTGATAAAGAGTGGGATTTTTTGTTAAATATCTACGCCAATAACACAAATGAAGAAGAAAGGAATCAACTTGCTTATGCAATGAGCTGCAGTAAAGACCCATGGATACTTACCAGGTGATTATGGACAACTTACCTTGAAAGTTCCTGGTGGAAGAGTGCAATTAATAAACCAAAGGGAGAAAAATATCACTGTGCTACGATAACAATTAATATATATTTGTGCATCATTAACTTGGAATCACATGGGATTTTGATTCCATTTATTTAAATTAACTTCTTGTATTGGATAATTTTTATATATTTATTTTCTGTAAATGCATTTTTACAGATATATGGAATATGCCATCACTACATATTCATTCAATTTTAATGAAACAAATATAATTGAAGTTGTGGCAGCATTTGATGTTGGCCGATATGTCGCAAAAGACTTTTTAGTCAACAATTGGCAAGCTGTGAGTGAAAGGTAAGAAAAGGAGGTGAGACCACTCTTTCATTTAGGTCATGAGTTTGGTGCTAGAAGCACAGATTCAGCCTGGCTAGGTCACAAAAGTCCTAACTGGTCGTGTTATGGAAGAGAAGGTCACTTGTCTTCAGTTTTGGCTTTCTGAATAAAGATAGATTTGCAAGGGATAGTTTTATACCACAGTTTCCCTATTGTGCCCGCTAAGAAGTTTGAAAGTGAGATTAGAGCAAGTCACATTTTCTTGGTGCATGTACATCAGCCATTCGTTTATTTTGTGAAGTGCATCACCATGTCTTTATAAAACAACAACGCCCATCATTACATCAGCCTGGATGTTGCTTGTGTGCTTTACTTGTCAGATTCCCTTTTATATGCCTGGATTCCATAGTCTTGAACTTTTTAATATTTCTCATAATTTAAGACTAATCTGTTTGCTTCCTAGCCCATCTATTGGGTAACATATACATTGGCATACAAATATCAGACAGCAGGCCCTGGATGGCTGGTTTTTCTAGAACATTACTTAACCATGCATTCCTAATAATCACATGCTATAGAGTGAGCAGATTCGAAGTAGCCAACAGTTCAGGTACAAGCAACTGTAAAGTTGAAAGCTACATTGTATAAATAATTCTTTTGAAACAAAGTATTTTTAGCATAAAAATGTTTAAGAATGTGAATATGGTTCTCTTAAAGAGCAAAATAATGGAATGGGGTGCATTTTTTTGGTTGTGTGTGTGTGTGTGTGTGTGTGTGTGTGTGTACATTTATTGAGCACCCATACAACACCAAAAAATGTAGTTTTAAATCAGAAATAAAAAGTGTGTAAATAAAGGCTTATTTGTACAGTACCATTACAGACTCATCAGTGGAATTTGAGAAAATTGTCTTTATCTCCTGCTTTAAATTACTTATCATTCTAGGTTTATTGCTTCAGAGGGTGTTATAAATTCCTTAAATTTCCTGGGATCCCTAAGACCTTTGGGATAAGTGGTGTTTTCATTTTTGCTTAAGTTGTTAAAGATAATGCCCTCCTTCCTAGGTCCTACTTCTCACTGGGAATTCGGCTATAAATCAGAATTATGTCCACAGGTCCCCTTGTTCCATGAGGTTTCAGAGATGCGCCCACCCCCTAGGGTTGTATCTTTTCTCTTTCCCTGGAGCTTGTAATAAAAACTTCACCCCATGTTCACTCTAGGTCTGAAATGCCTGCCTTTTCATCTGTAATCCTACTATGCACTATAAATGTTCATGTAAACAAAGTATCCTTTTGCTAGTAGACCAGTCCTATCAGGATAAACACAGATGAGAAAGTAACTTATCCATTTGACTTTGGGTGGTGAACACACAATACAGTGTACAGATGGTGTGTTATGGAATTGTGCACCTGAAACCTGTATAATTTTGTTACCAGTGTCAGCCCAATAAATTCAATACAAAGGAAAGAAAAAGAAAATAAGTTCTCTAACCCTCTCATTTGGAACTGGAAGTGGAACATCTATTTATTGTTTGTCTATGAACATTTAGGCCTTAGTTTCCTCTTCTCTAAAATGAAAGACATGTATTTATTAATTCTAAAGTTCTTTCTAGTAATAAAGTAGTTTGGTTTTACTCTGATAAGACAGTTAGTTTCAGCTGTTGTTGGGGATATAAAGTGATTAGAATGTGGAGATGGAGACAGAGAGGGCTTTGGGGACTCAAAGGGAAGGAAGGGAATTGAGTGAGGTTTGAACAGGCAGATTTGGAAAAAGTCACCTTCCACATGGAAGGACTAAAAGACTGACTTGGAATGAGTCACATCCCTGGCTGGAGCTTGGGGCTCTGGAAAGGGGGAGACAGGGGAGGTTACGGGGTTGAATTGAGCACACTGCCAATAGAGGTTCAGGAACATCTGCTCCCCTCGACCACGCCCAGGACTCTTCTCAGGAGGCCCAATCTGAAAATACATTTTGGAATATTTGCTTGAGTAAAACATCTTCAGCTTGCTCCTGCTCCTCCCTCCCTTGTGCAGACACTGCACTGGTCTCTGAGGGGTAATTATTTAACTGTTGGACCAAGATGATCCTTTGAGCACTGATCTAAATGAAGGAACCTCCACTGACCATAAAGACATCTTTCAGGTTACAGGAAAATCAATATGTACATGTAGATGTGGGTAGATTCTATGGAAGAATGTGTGGATAGGGATGGAACACCAGGATTTTTGTGATCTTTTATTGTATGTGGTAGAAGTTATGTTTGTGCCCTTATCACCCTTGTTAAGTTGCTTTTAGCTTTCTTAAAACAATGTGGATTTCACAGCCAACAGGAGAACGCTAGTTTTGTTTGAATATAGACTATAAGGTATAATCAGTTTCAAACTCAACTGGCCCAAAATGAATCTTCACTTTTCCTTATCAAACACTCGATTTCTCCTCCAAATATTGTTATATTGCCTAGAGTCCTAAGCTTGAAACCTGCACTTATTTTCACTTCCATTCTGTTGTATTTTATGATGGAGAACATGGAGTGGAAAAGGTTAAGTGGGAGCACAAGGGAACTGCGTGAGTTGAGATGTGGTTGGAGTGGACCCATTCCCGCCACCTGCCACTGGATTGGGCTGGATGCCTTGGTGCCCCATGCTTGCCTAGTGGCCATGCTTGCCACAGGAAGTCAGACATGGCAGGGGAAGGGAGAGGAGAGAAGGAGAAATGTGAGAAAGGAAAGAGGCAGAATGCAAGCCAAACTAGAATACCCATCTCACTGTGTCCACACTAGCATTGAATGTTATCAGTATTTTTTAAAGGGTAACTATGCTGACACCCACTGGCTCCTGTCTTGATATTAATTAGAATGCATTTGACTACGGGGGAGATAAACTACTCGTAAAGTATGTATTTTTGTTTAATATTTCAAAGAGATTGCTCTCGCAACAAGAGTGACAAATCCTCTCTGTCTCAAAAATATCTCCGCTTGAAGCTTGCAAGACCAGGAAGGAATGATGTGTGCCAGGTGCTCTGATAGATGCCACAACATACATTATCTCATTTACTCTCCAGAACAATGCTTCTAACTATATGTTATTCCTCATTTCTACAATTTATGAGTTGCCCAAGGTAACTTCAAATTGGGCCTCACCTGTTGGGGTAACCTTTCTTCTGGATCTGGTAGAAAATCCCATAGTTAGCACCTTATGTAGTTTTCCACTTTTTTTCTTTTAAGCTTGGGACTTGGTTCTTTGCAAATTTTGCCAAGTTTCTTGAGTCATCTCACAGGCTTTTCATACCTGGCCAATAAAAATGAAAAATAAGAAATATTTCCACTTTCCCCACAGAAACAAGTTTGCTTGTCTGAATTACATGTAGACTGTCTCTTGTCCTCTACTTTGCTCAAGTAAACACAGTTTACACTATAGCTGGAGATCTAAAAAGAACAAGAGCACTGTTTTCTCTTACCCTTGTTTGTGTAGTATGCCAACATTAACTCTTATAATTTTTAATTTCAAGTATACATTTTTGAAATAAATTGTGTGTATAATTATCAAGCCAGTTCAACCATTTCTTATTCAGTCTATATTAACCCTATCTTAATTTTCTTTCTTTTTTAATGCATCCAAAAGTCTTTATTTACTTTTATAACTACAGCACCACTTTGGGCAGGTATGTATCTGTTCTTTCTCTACAGCAACACTTCATGGCTTTTTTTTTTTAGATGATTCTCATTGGGTATCAGGGGCACTAAACTAAGGAGGAAGTTTCAGTGACCACGCTTGTTTGAGGGAATGTAAATAGAGTAGAGCCAGGTACTTAGCCTTGAGAATCTCAGATGATATGGATCCTCTTCCCAAAAAGCACATACAAATACAACATTTTTAATGAGCTTTCAGTGTATTTTAGTCAGAGTTAAAAAAAAAAAACACAAATACAAAAAACCACTGTTTTTAAGGGACATAATTTGCATATTTATTTACTCCCTTATAAATTTTCTTAATTTGAGGTATGTGACAGCTATTCTAACCACCTCATTTAAAAAGATAAAAACAGTTGACATTGTTATTGTTTTTAAGAAGAGTTTTTTTTACATTTAAGTGAACTAAAAACTATGTGTTACATAAATCAGTATTTAAATATAAATATTTTTAGTGCTAATAGAATTTTTTATTGATTTTAAAGAGGTAGGAAGGGAGACATCAATTTGTTGTTCCATTTATTTATGCATTCATTGGTTGCTTCTTGTATGTGCCCTGACCAGAGATTGAACCTGCAATCCTGGCATATTGGGATGATGCTCTAACCAACTAAGCTACCTGGGCAGAGCTAGAATTTTTTATATAATAGATTTTCTATTAAAAGATGAGGGTAAACTAATTCATACATGTTTTCTTTTAGATGTTGGAGATAGAAATTAAAAGGGGCTATATACTTAGCATTTATCTGGCAAATAAAATATAGCTTTGTCTTGCAAAACATTTCCCAACCCTGATTAGCATCTTGTTGCTTTGCAGGTATGGAATACACTCGTTGGTTACTATAATGTATTTAATAGGGAGAACCATAAGTACAGATTTACAGGTCATGGAGGTAAGTACTTTAGATATTATGAATTATAAGTTGGAAACCACTTTTTTGTGTCATTTAGAGTTGCTAAAATTAAAATGCTTATCTGAATTATAACATTCTATGCTTCCATTGGTGCCGTCATAACTGTACATGAAATGTTTTTTTTAATTCTATCTTGCTCTTGAGGGTTGGACATCATTCTTTCTCACCTGAATTACTTCAGTAGACTCTGGCCCAAGCTCCCTGGCCCAGGCTGGGCTTGCCTCCATCCATTCTGCACATTGCTATCAGCCATTGCCCTGTTCCCAAAGCTTCAGTAGCTTATCAGTCTTTAGGAAATTTTCAAATCTTTTCATTAACACACGAAGCCCTTAATAATCTGGACCCTGCCTTACCCTCTAGCTTCATTTTTGCCCAGCTCACCACTGAGTATCTGAAAGCAAGAGACAGACCACCCCCAAATACGTTTCCTCTAGCTATACTCCACCACTTACAGATTTTCTGAAATTATTAGGTTGTTTTACATTTTCTAGATTTCAGAACCCTGTCCTTGACTAGATAATTCCTAATCATCCTTTAAGACCCTGCTCCAACCACCTATTCCAGGAATTTTTTTATGAACCAATTTATACCTGTCCTTCCTCCATACTCCCAAATCATCTCATCAATATCTTTATTACAGCACTTACCACATTATACTGTAATCAGTGTGTGCATACATCTACTCTATGAGGGTAAAATAAGCTCCCTGAGGACAGAGACCACATTTTAATTATAACTGTATTCTAGAATCTAATGTGGGGCTTGCTGTTTCTAGCGTCTGCTTTCCTCTGGGCTGAATTTCTTCTTAGGCAGGCTTTCTTCACATGGAGGCAAACATAGGTCCAGGCTTACATGATCCTTAGCATCCTCAGTTGTAGAAAAAGGAATACCTTTTCACCCAGCTTCAAGTTCCAGTCCTGAAGGCAGAACTCTGATTGGTCCTACTTGGTTCACATGCACCAATCACCGAGTCCAGGGAGAAGGAAATACTCTGATTGGCCTAACCTGGGTCATTTGCCCACATTTGGAACCAGCCCCACCCAAACCACAGACACTGAGATAGGGAAGGAGTAGTTCTGGAAAGAAAAGGGAAATGCTATAACCACAAGGTAAACTGAGTGGCAAAAGCAAATGTCTACAAAAAAGCAACACACAAAGTAAAACAAGAATAAAATATAAATACAACCTCTACACACCCAGCAGCATAGGTAAAATTAGAAAGATTGACAATACCAAAGGTTGGCAAAGATGTAAAGCAACTGGAACTCTTACCCTACTGGTGGGACTGTGACATGGAAACTATGGAAAACAGACAGTATCTCTAAATGTTAATTAGACACATGTGACCCAACAATTCCACTTTAAGGTTTTTACTCAAAAGAAATGGAAACCTATGTCCACACAAATACTTGTACATGAATGTTCCTAGCAGCTTTATTTACATTAGCTAAAAACTGGAAACCACCCAAATGTCCATCAATAGGTGAATGGACAAGGAAAATGCAATATATCCACACAATGGAATTCTACCCCACAATTTAAAAAAGGAACAATTTTGTGTAGCAACATGGATGAATTTCAAGATGATTGTCCCGAGCAAAAGAAACCAGAGACTTTCTAGGAAATGCAAACTGACCCGTAGTAACAGAAGGTAAATCAGTGGTTGCCTGGGACAGAGGGAGGGATGACCTGAAAAGGGCAGGAAGAAACTTTTGTGGGCCGTGGAAATGGACTGTATCTTGATTGTGGCTATGGTTTCACAGGTGTATACAGAGATCCAAACTCGACTTGTATACTTTAAAGCTTATGTATATAAATTTTATCTCAATAAAGTTGATTACAAGTAAAAAAATGTATATGAGTAAAAATTAACTATGGCCTGGAACTATATTAATAAAAATAGGAAGGGCCTGTGTAAATAAGAAAGGAAAATCAACGCCCTGCCCCAGCAAGTAAACAAATAAATGTTTAGGACATAAGGCCTGAAATTTGATCCTGAGCAAGAAAAAAAGAAGCAGTCAGTTATGTAGTTGTTATAAAGAGAGAGAGGAAGAACTGCTAATTCCTGAAGGAATTAGCTTTGTTTCAGTTTGGCTTGCCTGAAGATGAACTGTCAGGACCTGATTTATCAGGGATTCCCTGGATCAGAGAGTAAAGGGCACACCCAGAAATGCTGGAAAGAAGGTTTGGTATCCCGTTGAGTCTTCTAAAGTGTATCAGTTTATTTTTGTAGTTTATCTCTACAGAACCCAGTAAAATTTTATTGTTTTTCATTTTTAATTTTTATTGATTTTTAGAGAGGAAGGGGTGAGGGGGAGAGAGAGAGAGAGAAAGAGAGAGAGAGATTGGTTGACCCCTGCATGTGCCCCAACCGCGAATGGAACCTGTCTATCACCTTTTGGTGTCTGGGATGATGCTCCAACCAACTGAGCCATACTGGCCAGAGCTTGTTGTTGTTGTTTAATGAATGAAGGTTGTATAAATTTAGCAGTCTTCAAAGTTCCAAAGCTCTATAGTCACTGATAGTTTATTTAAAACTAGAGGCCTGGTGCACAAAATTCGTGCATGGGTAGGCCCCCTAGGCCTGGCCAGTGATCAGGGCCGATCGGGGCCTTCGGCTGCCAGCCAGGACCTCCCTTCTCTAGCTGCCGGCTGCTGGCGAGGGCCTTCCTTCATTCCACGTCACCCCCTGGTGGTCAGCACACGTCACAGCAAGCAATTGAACTCCCAGTTGAACTCCTGAGGGGACAATTTGCATATTAGGCTTTTATATAGAGAGATAATGTAAAAGTGGATTTAGCAGTGATTACATTTTTGCAATTTTGAAAACAAGTTAGCTATTATGAATATCCTTGTCAAAAACCTACTAATGCCCAATAGTCCTCCTATAATGTATTAATTCACATGGTAATATAAAAAATAATTACTAAAAAGAGGATGAAAAGAAAGTCACATGAGTCCCTTCTCCTTCCAGACCAGCACAGTTCCTATATACTCTTTGCTTCTCTTGCTCTGTTCCTTATACACTACCCTGTTGGAGCCTGGCCGCACTCATGCTCTCAAGCATACATGAAGCCCCCCTACAATGTCACAGACCCTACTCCCCTCCCACTCACTGCAGGTGCATGATCATATGGGGTTGTGGGGAGGTGGATTCCACTGCCTGGTAGGTATGGACAGGTGTGGAAGAGGGTGGGAGGTTCTGGTTCCTTAATCTACTTTTTCCAGAATGTTCCTTTTCTTTTACATTGTAATTAGCCTTGATAACCCTATTACTGCTCAATTTTAAGTGCATTAGGGTTTAAATGACATTTTGTGAGCACAGGTACACTGTGATCTCACATGTGCTAAGTTCTAATTTGTTGATGGAGAAATAGACTAGGAATATAAGTAATTAGTCAATTGGCATCTGGCTTGTACATAATATTGCATATGTTCCTATAGCTTAATGCTTGACTTGACTCAATGAAGGAATTTAGCCAATGGACAAATCCGCTATCTAAATATCTATAATAATAAAAGGGTAATATGCTAATTAGACCGGACATCTTCCTGGCGTCATTCTGGACATCCTTCCTTACCAAACCGGGGCTGGAGGGAAGCCATCCTGGGTCTTGGGTGCCTGTGGGCAGCCCGAGGAAAGCCAGCCTGGGCCCCAGGTGCTGGAGGGAAGCCGGTGCCGGCAGCCAGGGGAAGGAAAGACTACTCTTGCATGAATTTTTGTGCATTGGGCCTCTAGTTCTTAAATAAAGGATAACATCTATAAAGACACAGATGTTGTGTGCCAGTTTTGAGCTTTGAAAGTTGCAAAGTATTTTTTGAGATAAGAAAAGGTCTCACTCTATCTCTGTCCACAAATTTTGCCTAATAGCTGGTATGCATTCAGTAAATCTTTATTGAACACCTACTAGGTGGTTGGGGAATAGAGCAGTGAATAAAATAGATGAAGTTCCTACATCATGGAGCTTCCAATCTACATCTGACTCTTCAGGGTAGGTGGTCTTCACACATTGCCACCCATTCCAACTGCCATTGGCCATTTGCAAAATCATGTTGCGACTTAGAGTGAACCGTCCTGTTTTGTCTAAATAAGGAGTCAGATTGCCTTGACCGTCTCTTTGTCCTTTCAGCTGCAGCAGTTTTTCAGCCCCATGTTGGAGGAGCACCAGAGGCTCGAAGTTCATGCCAAATTACAGGCAATAAAGAACGAAAATCTGACAAACAAAAACCGAAGTGCCAGGATAGCTGCATGGCTACGGAAAAACACATAACTTAGTGGCCACTTTTGGCATTTCCCCTTGTATATTATACTGTAGTTTGCGGACTGTTTTGTCTTCCAATACTTTGTGAGTCTAGAAAACCACATGTTTTGTTATTTGTATTTCAGTCACATTTATTACTCAGCATCCTGTTCCTCCCTTGTCGTCACGCTGTCTCTGAGCTCACTGATTGCTGAGGAGTTTTCCAGCACTGCTGTGTTTTGGGGGAAGATTTCATTTCAAGTTGGGCTATAAAACCACAAAATTTACTTTAAATGCCTTGTAAAAAACAAATTTACCTTAGAAAGTCTTGCTTATTCTGTTGTGAAGGCCAGTAGAATATTAAATCATTGGCTAAATGAGTACATTCTTTTCTGAAAGAAATACAGATTTGCAATACTCTAGGGTTTATTTAGTTCAACTAGAGGCCCGGTGCATGAAATTCATGCACGGGGGAGGGGTGTCCCTCAGCCCGGCCTGCAACGACACCATCGTCCCTCGCCCTAGCCCGAGGACCCTCCCCTCCCTTCCCTCCACACAGCCGGGGCGCAGATGCTGGGCTCACGTTGCCGGGGCGACACCGCCAGCATCCCGCCCCTGCCACTAAGGGTGCCACCATCTTTGTGGCGGAGTGATGCTTAATTTACATATTACTCTTTTATTAGATAGGGTATTTAAAAGAATAATGAGCAAGTAACACAACAGTGTAAAGAAGGAGAACCAGAAGAATAACACCCTCTAGAAATCAGAAAAGCAAGTTTTAAAAAGAAGGAACAGGCAATTTTATGAGCCATGTGATCTGCCCTAAAAGCAGGAAATGTGTCTTGTGCCTCTTTCTCTCTCCCCAGAGTACCTAGGCATTGTGCCACACTTTACTTACTGGCTACTGAATGTATGATGTCACAAAAAGACCCAGGATCACAGGATCCTAAAGTACCTTTAGGCTTGCTGTGTGGAGGCCAGATTGGAGAGGAAGGCTCTGCCTTGAAGCTCTTGACTGTATTTTCCTGTGGGAATGGATATTCTTTTAGCCAAAGTTTATGAGCAAAAATAATATGTCAACAGACAATAGCAATTATGGGCTAATCTTCAGCACAAAGGGAGATGGTCAAATAAAGAGAAATGAAACTAACAGGCTAACCAGAATATACTCTTCACAGCTTTGCACTCAGGGGATTAGTTTGAAATGTGGTTTCATTTGGCCAAATTCAAACTACTTATAGTTTGGACAACTTTAAACATTTTCATCAGTCACAATGTATGGAATTAGATTAGTTTTATTATCCCTGATAAAACCAGGACAGCTAAGGCCTACTTTAGAGTTTGTGTATATCTGATTTAATACTGTGCTTTAATTTTGATTTTGTAGAATGGGGATTAAACTACAAATCTCCTATCTACCTCAGAGCGATATTGTAAAAACTAAGGAATATGTCAATGAAAGGTCTTTAAATATCTAGAGTAATAAAAGTGTAATATGCTAATTAGATCAGATGTCCTTCCGGACGACCTTCCAGACAAAGCCGTGGTGGCAGGGGCCAAGGCAGAGGCAACTGCCATGGTGTAGGGGGCCAAGCCCCTTGCATGAATTTTGTGCATCGGGCCTCTAATGTTATATAAACTCAAGACAGTGTGATTTAAGGTTTTATTCCCTATTTCTTATATAAGTTAATGCAGCCACAAATTAAAATGTTATACAAAAAATTCACTTGCATATTCGCTTCATAAGAAGATGCTCCCTGAGTGTGAGTGGAGGCTATGAGACAACCATGAGGACAAACCAATGCACATTCTACTCAGATTTGACCATTGGTCACAGCTCAGAAAATTTTTCCTTGAAATTTAGAAATTTAAAATTAAAGCAATAAAATATCCCCATGTTTTCACATCGTTGTGTATGAGATATCTTATGTTTCCTTAAGCATTCTTTCTATATTTCCTTTTTTTCCCCTCTGATCATCAACCTCATCTTTTGATAACCATGTAACATGTCTTCTCAAGTGCTTTTCTCTTCCTCCTCCTTCTCTCCTCCACTTCCAGCTCTTCCCTCTCTCCCTCGGACTCCTCTGTCTTCCTTCCTTTCCAGTGACCTCGGCCTGGTTAACCATGTCCTCTGTCCTTGGTCTTCCTACCCTACTGTGTTCTCATTCCACCAAGGGCAGTTGGAGGCTGACACTCGGGGCCCCAGCAGGCTCTGATGCCTGTTGTTGGGTGATGCCAAGTACTGCCTGATCCTACCAAGAAGCACAAGCACTGCCTGATTCAGACCATCTGCTAAAAATTCACATCCCATCTTAGCCTCTGTGGTAATTAAATAGTGCTGGAAGTGTTTATCCAAAGTCAAATGCTCAAGTATTTGGTTAATAGTCCTTCCTCTAAATAGGAAAAGGAATTTTGAATAATGTAAATTGTTTTCTGGCTTGAATAAAGCCAGTTACTTTTATAAGAATTACATTTTATTATATTGTACCTAATAATTGTATAAAAAGAAGTAATTATGAATTTATTATTGGGACAGCAGTAAGCCAGGGAATGAAACTGAGCCAGATTTATCTAAATGGTGTAAATACTTTATTAACTAATAAGCCATCTTATCTATTAGCACCCCAACTATAAATAGTTTTTTCTTTATACTGTTCATCCTAAGAAAAGTTAACAAGATGTACTATGTACTCATGATTTTTTTTCAATTTGGTAATTAGAAATTAAAGTTTTCCTCACAATCTCATGCTTCTTTCTGCTCAAACACATTCAATGACTTTAAGTGAAAGAACAAATGCCTTAGTCTTGAAGACTGGAGATCCTCTATAATTCAAACCCTGAGGCCAATCTGTCTGTACAGTAAATCCATTCTGAGGAACAAATGAAAAAGCAAAATAAGATGAGATTTAAAAGGGAGCTCTACTTGATTACTTTTCCCGTTTACCCCAATAAATGCTATCTTTATTTCATCCAAGCTTTAGCGAATAAATATATCCAAAGCAAAGTCTTAAGGGTGCTTATAACTAAATATAACTGGCGCCTCCACAAATAATGGTGTAGCAGTCAGCAGCATTTGAAACCACACATATATTGCTTCCAGCTTGATCTTCTCTCTAATTCAACAAAATTCAGCAAAGATATTCATTACGAGTTATTTGGACTCTTCCTTTTCCCTTTCTTTCAAAAGAGTCAGTCCTAAAGGTGAGGCAGGGCAAGGTAGGCTTCTACAGCAGTGCTGGCCTGTGGCCTGGAATGAGGTGGAAAAGCTTGAGTGGGGCAAAGAGGGAGTCCACACTGTGGGAGCAGATTGGCACCGGCTGTCAGAGCGAAGAAGAGTCAGTGGGTGACATAGTGCAGAGAGGCAGCTTATGACATGAAGGGTCAGAGCCAAACAGGGTAAGAAGGACCTCTATGCAGGGAAGCCGCAAGCAAGAGCAGTCAAAGCCCAAATGGTGAGAAGAGAAGATCTAGACCAGGGGTGGGGTGGCCCAGCATGAAATATTAGAGACTGAAGAGGGTGAGGGGGGCATCCATATGGGGTGAGGGAGAGGCAGAGATGGGAGCTTGGATACCACAGGGTTATGAAGCCAATAAGGAAATATATGAGATAATAGAATCCAGGTTTTCTCTCTGTGGAAGAGAGTTGCAGATATTCAAAAGGAAAACAAAACACTAGGACAAACCCTTTGTTTTTGGATTAGAATTGGAGGTATTGATGTGAACAGATCTCACAGTTCTCAATACATGGATAGATTATACATATAAATGTAAATGTGTTTATAGACTTATCTTGCTCTTTCTCTGTATAGATATGTAATTATAGTTATAAATATGTAGAAATATGGATAGGAATACAGATGTAGATATATAGATATAGATTTATAGATATAGAAATATAGCTATATAGATATAGATGATATAGATATAGAGCTAGGTATTCAACTGATAGAGCCTGGGAGCAGCAACATGTTAATAACAATGAGCACCATTAGCATCCAGGTCTTGGCTTCTAAATGCCATATTCTGCTAAGAGAACCAGGGTTTCTTGGAGAAATGGATGATTTCAAGGCTGAGGACAATTTGAGATAGAATATCATTTTGTACTAAAAGATAAGGAATTGCTAAAAGAATGTTGAGGACATATCAAAGGCACAAAAGCCAGTTTAAAGGGAGCCCTCACTAATCAAATATTGGAAAATTTGAGTATTGTAATAAAGACAGTAATGGAATAAAACAGGGATTCATGAATCTATACTTATATGTCTAAGTAATGAATAAATTGAAATTTTGATGAGGAAAAGAATATATACATAATTGCAAAATACTGATAAATTGTAAAGGGAAAGTAATTTACAGTGGGAAAACTGGCAGATGTACTTTAATCAATAGATCAATGTGAACATTGTCACAGTGGGATAAATAAAAAATTTGTTCCACTTAATAAAACAAAATGACAAAAATACAGCATCACTTTTTGTTATATCCCAGATGAATCTGCATAACATGAATCTAATCATGAGGAAACATAAGACAAACTCAAATTAAGTTACATGCCACAAAATATTCTTCAAAAGTGTCAAGGTCATGAAAGTCAAAGGAAGATGGAAGACCACTTTAGAATGAAAGAGATGAAAGATACATGGCAACAAAATGTAATGTGATTCTGAACTGGATTCTTTTGCTATAAATGACATTATTGGGACAACTGGAAAAATTTGAATGAATTCTGAGGATTAGGTACTAGAAATGCATCAGTGTTAACTTTCTGACTTTTATGGTTGTGTTGTATTTATGTAGGAAAAAAATCCCTGTTGTAGGAAATCCACATCAAGGGGTGAATGGGGCATCAGGTGTGACAACTAAATATTAATGATGCAGAAAAATATATTTTTATTATAATTCTAACTTCTCTATAAATTTTTAATTATATAAATTACATTTAAAAATAAATAAAAGCCGAAACCGGTTTGGCTCAGTGGATAGAGCGTCGGCCTGCGGACTGAAAGGTCCCAGGTTCGATTCCGGTCAAGGGCATGTACCTGGGTTGCGGGCACATCCCCAGTAGGAGATGTGCAGGAGGCAGCTGATCGATGTTTCTCTCTCATCGATGTTTCTAACTCTCTATCTCTCTCCCTTCCTCTCTGTAAAAAATCAATTAAATATATTTTAAAAAATAAATAAATAAAATCTTTTTTTTTTAGAACTGCAACGCATTTTTTTCAAATTTTTTTTTTTAATTTCAAACTTGTTAAGGGTCATAGCCACAGTCCTGAAGGTATCTATTAAGCATTTCAGTAAGCACAAAGTGAAGGCACAGGTTGTCCCAAAAAACTCAATTTCTTGTTTCAGTCAATAGTTTCCATCTTAAATCAAAGGGACTAAAATATTAAAAGATATTATTCAAAATTAGCAGAGCTACAAAATGTAAAATAAATGTAAATAATTAAATTTTTTGAATAAAGTTTATTTGAAACTTGTATGTAAGTTTGTAGCATTTATGCTTCTGAAGTTTTTAAAACTGAACTGTCTTTTGAAAAAAACCTATATACAGAAGGATAAATGTAACCTTGAAAAGTCACTATTGCAACAACTTGACTTAAGCTATGCAGAGTGATGTCTAAACAATAATTGACTTAAGCTATGCAGAGTAATGCCTAAACGATATATTTCACACAACTAGTAATAAATGGTACATAAGTCTCAAAGTTGTATAGTATGTATTCTTTACTACTATCTTGATTTATTAAAAATTCTTTGCTAAGGCCCTGGCCAGGTGACTGGGTTGGTTGGACCATAGTAGAGAAGAGATGTGGTCGGTAGGAAATCACTACTACCTGTTTAGTACCCTCTACATAGGATGTACTGAGCCATGTGCCACTTTATCTCATCCTCAAAATAACTCTATAAGACAGTGAATCCATTAAGATCCAGCCAGAAAAATAGAATGTAGACCATTTTTGTTTGTTTGTTTTACCAAAGAGATTTTAATGTTAGGGATTTGTATAACAGCTATTAGAGAAGTGAAAATGCAAAAGAAAACCCCTAAGTTATAGTGCAGAAAGTAGTTCTCTTCTTTAGGGCTGGAGGATAAAGGGCAAAGGTTGGAGTTACTAGAATGTAGGAGCTTGGATTAGACAGCACACGATTTCCTGTTTAGTTTGGTCCACCCAGATGTCCACATTCCAAATCTCAGGGTCCCCTTTCCAATCAGTGCCCTAACTCTCACGGTGGAACCTTAGCAAGCCTGCGAATTCAACTTGCATTGTAATGACGCATCCTACAGAGCAGCTACAAGAAATATGAGATTTGGTGAGAACTGCCTTTGAAGGTCTTTGGCTCTTTATCACTTGAGTCAGCAATTTCCAACCAGCATGCCTCAGCAGGCAAACTGGTGTGCCACAAGAATTTTTAAAACATGCAATACCTGACTATTTAGTCTGGGGCATTGACCTCTTTTCCCTTAGGTTGTCAAAAAAAAAAAAAAAAAGACAACAGCCAACACAAAAATAGCCGTCTGGTATGAATAAATCAAAATTATACCTATTTTTTGT